AAAAAAAAAAAAAAAAAAAAAAAGATATTTGGGCATTTTTTTTTCAAAACCGGTTTCCTGGTTCACCCCCCCTGGGCTGGTCCGGCTCCGGTTGGACCGGGGTAGCTCAACCGGCCGGTTGCCTGCCCAGCACCGCTCTGGACTCACCATACGGTTATTTTGCACTTCTTAGATACAGCTCGAAGCCAACCTTGTCTTTAAGAGGTGTGTTGCAACTTCAACGGGATCCGAAGGGGTTAGAATTTAGAATGGCTGAGCATTGAATAACCATGCACGGTGATGCACCCCAATTTTTTTTAATTTTTTTTTGTAAAAGAAGAAGAAATGCAGGCTTTGTCTTCTCCTCTTATGGGGGACAGCCACATTTTTTTTAATTATGCTATGATCCTCTCTCAGTATTGTACCTTGCACTACCTACCAGGGGATTTAGGGTCTAAGCGAAGGGTCTAAAGCTGGAATCTGTGTACTATGCACACACGCTGGGTGTCCCTAACAGTTATGGGTCAAGACCAACCCCCTACCGTATGCTGGGAGATCCCATGAGCAGGCCAGCAATATATCCTGGATTCTGATTCAGGTCTGTGTTCCAAGAGTTATGGGTTCCGAACTTACTACAAACACTACAGTAGCTGTCTCTTTTTTTTGTTTTTCCTTTTCTTCCGTGCAGTGGCCCTAAGGGGCTCGCTCCACCCATCAGCACTTGCAGAAAAGAAAAACGTATGGCTTGTATGGTTCCAGTTTCTAGGAGAAGATTCATTCTAGTTTTGCACATTTGGTGAATAGTGGAGTGAAACCCTGAGAATCTCATGCCGAGTTAGTAAGTCAGTAACCCATAACTGCTGAAACACAGACCTGAATTCGAATCTACACCGTATATAGCTGGCTTGCTCCCTCCTTACTACATGTCCAGTGACGACCCATCCAGTGCCCATCCTTCTGCTGCCGACAGGACCCTTGCCAATTTTTGGCAGGGACCTTTTGAAGTAACGGCAGGGGTTGTCTGAATAATTTGAAAGGTCTCTCTCTCTCTCTCTCTCTCTCTCTCTCTCTCTCTCTCTCTCCAGCGTGTATACACACATCACGGTTGCTTTTTTTTTGAATCACGCCCGTGTGCGCATCTGCGATCAGTACACCGCGCAGCACGCAGCGCCCTTCATCAACGCGCCTCAAGTATGGTAAAAATGGCTGAATAACAATGCACTAACATTTTCTTTTCGTCCAGAATTGCCTGAGGAGTTTTGAGGGGACCCTTGGCCGACAGTTATTTGTAATGTGATTCTATCATTCTACACACACTTTTTCCAGATTTGTCTTCTCCTCCACAGACAGAGAGAGATAGAGACACGTCAGGAAAAGACAATGCGCAAACATTTTCTTTTCGTCCAGAATTGCCTGAGGAGCTTTGAGGTGACCCTTGGCCGACGGTGTAATGTGATTCTATCATTCTACACACTCTTTTTCCAGATTTGTCTTCTCCTCCACAGACACGGAGAGATAGAGACACGTCAGGAAACGAGTGTTGTGTAGAAAACAAATCTGGTTCTCTCGGTTGGTAGAGCACGTAAGTGGCAGTCAGGAGGTCATGGGTTTGATTCCCCACGTCTTCCGTTCGATTTCCCACAGCCTCCTGCGACGTGCTTCAGGCTCACCAGCTGAGATAGTTGGGTTGTTTCCCCCCCCCCAACAGGTCAGTCTTGGAGGAGGTTTTTCCATCGTCCATTAAACTTTCATCCCTTGTACATCTCGGACTTTCATCCCTTGTACATCTCAGATTGATTGTGACGCCCTGTGGTAACCTAGTAGACTTCGGTGGACTTTGCTATGTAGGTAGGTAGTGTGAGGTATACATTGAGAGAGATCTGACTCTCAGCCACACAGAGAGAGAGACAGAGAGGTCTGAAAACTGCCCTGTGAACTAGATTCGTTTTCTCATTCTTCCTTAAATATTCTCTCTCTCTCTCTCTCTCTCTCTCTCTCTCTCTCTCTCTCTCTCTCTCTCTCTCTCTCTCTGTGTGTGTGTGTGTGT